ATTTACGTCCTTTGATGGAGCAAGAAAGAAAATGAAACATAGGAAAAGCTTTTCTAGGACTTTTGTTCGATCTGAAAGGTGGGGCCAAAAGATAGTATGGCCCCACCTTTCAGCACCAAAGGGGGGGCCATGGCCCCCGTGGCCCCCCCCCCCCCCTGCGACCGCCAGTGGGTCAAAGGTCGGATTTTCACCGTTCACAGGCATTTCAAGAAATGTGTTGTGAAATCGAGTACCTAAATTGGTAAGTTATTGAAAACCATCGATGGCACATTGTTCGTCAAACACATACTTTGCTATCTGAGGTCACTGATACCAGGCCAGGTCACTGGGGGTCACAGCCTCACAATATGAAAGTGTCGTGACATATATCTAGTCAGTTACAGAAAACGTTTTCGTTGCACTATTACAAGCGAACGGTACGGACACATGTGATGTAAAGTTATCTACCAGAGCAAAAAACATTGCGATTTATATTACATTTATTGTTTATCCAGCCTGAATAACATTATAAATGTTCAAGTCAGGACTGCGGAGTCGATGGATTTTCGGCGACTCCGACTCCGACTCCGACTCCGGCTTTCAAAAACCAGCTCCGACTCCGACTCCGACTCCGGGCAGAATTGTCGACTCCGACCGACTCCAACCCCCGACTACAACTCCGTAGACCTAGCAGGGCTGCGGAGTCGACAGATTTTCGGTGACTCCGACTCCGACTCCGGCTCGGGTTTCTAAAATCGACTCCGACTTCGACTCCGACTCCGGTCACAACTGTGTCGACTCCGACCGACTCCGACTCCGACTCCGACTCCGACTCCGACTCCGACTCCGCAGCCCTGGTTCAAGTAGGCCGTCATGACATTAGACTGCCGGGGTGTATGCATTCCGTCTCATTCGCTTACGGCTTAACCATATTTAAGTATAGGGCAGGGCAGGGGTGGAGATCTGTCAAAATGTCAGGGGGGGGGGGGTCCAGGCCGCTGGCCGGGCAGATGGAGGCGGGCTGGATGCAGTACCATTGACTTACATAGCAGTAATTCGTTTTCAGGGGGGGGTCCTGACCCCCCCCCCGACCCCCGAGATCTCCAACTCTGGTATAGGGCGCAATTAGATTCTAATTGCGCCATCCCCCTGGCGCAATTTACATCAGTTGTTGGCAAATGCGCCCTTTTGCATGTTTCTGAAAAAAGCAGCTGTCAGAATGAATTGATCGGTAGGCTCTTAAATCGTAGCCAATGAGTTCCTCTTTGAAATGGTTACCAGTGCATGCTTATATCTCCAGCGGTTTTCTTACAGTTAGCGTTTTTCCTAAAGGTGGCGCAATTCACCCTCCTTCCCTTACAGCGGCGTATTTAGAAAATCGCGAAGGGGGGGGGGCAAGGGTTTGGAGGGCGCCACCTCACCCAAGGAGGGCGCCATACGGTCGCGAGATAAAAAATCACTCAACGGGGGGGGGGGGGTTGGGAGGCGTTTTTTACCATGCCACCAGTTTTTTTTTTTGCGTAACCTCGTATAGGTCGTGCTGCATTGATTTTGCATCGTGTGTATTCTTTATACCTACTCCAGGTCACAAAAGGTCAAGTGGTCTTGAAATGCTGCGCCGAAGGCGCGCGAAATTTTTGAAAACAACCTTTTCCTCCGCTTTTTAGGCACGCCTTTTATACGATCACTGTTCAAAGCTCCTCTCGCTCTTTTACCAAATTTGAAGGTATAAAAAATACCTAAGGTTTGGTCGGGCCGCTGCCACACAAACTGTATAGAAAGCTTGGCTCATGGGTGTCGATGTATAAAAGTTTATTGGCGGTGGCATATCTACGCACCAGATCACCGTATCGGATTGATACCGGAGCGCGAGATGCGTAAACATCATCCAAATTACCTCAGACCAGCCTTCATAGCCTTCTCACAGGTGCATACAGTGTACCCACATAACCAGTTTCAATCACCGAAACTTCAGATGCCTGCTGTTGCGGCCGAACCTGTTGACAATACTTAATCGTAATACATATAGATGCCATGATGCACGTAAAGTAGGATCAATCCGTTAAGACCAAAGACGTGTTTTATGCATCGAAGAGCGTAGATAGTTTTGGTAGGTATAGGTACTTCATTCATTGTGCTGAATGCACGTTCATTTGCGGCAGTTTTCACAGGCAAGACATCAACTATGTGCAATAGAACGACTAAGTTGAAGAACATGCCAAAGGAGTAAATAAATGATAGGAGGGCAGCGATCAACGGATGTTGCCAATAGGTAGAAGGGCTGCGATCCACAGGAGGGCGCTAATAGGTAGAAGAGCCCCGATCAACATCCCGAGTTTCGACAGTAGGGCACCGATAGGTAGGAAGTTGGCGAGCAGCAGGAGGGCGCCAATGGATAGAAGGGCAGCGATCAACAGGAGGGCACCAATAGGTAGGAGGGCCCCGATCAACAATCAACAGGAGGGCGCCACCAGGTAAGAGGGTGGCGAGGAACAGGAGAGCACCAATAGGAGGGTGGCGATCAACAAGAGGTCGCCAATAGGTGGGAGGGCGGTCATCAACTGCAAGTCGCCAATGAGCGGAAGGGTGACGATTAAAATGGGGGTGGCAATGGTGAGGAGGGCGCCTTTGCTCAAGAGGATGACACGAACAGGACGGCGTCTGTGCGGAGGGCGCTAGTCAACAGGAAGGTGCCAGTAGATAGGAGGGCGGTGATCAACAGGAGGGTGCCAGTGGTTAGGAGGGCGGCGATCAACACGAGGGCGCCAATAGGAGAAGGGCCCCGATTAGCATTCAACAGGAAGGACTAGGGAACCAATAGGTAGGAGGGCGGCACTGAACAAGAGGGTGCCAAAAGGGAGAAAGGCGGCCTTCAAAATTTCACATGAGGGCGCAATAGGTAGAAGAGCGCCAATAATTATGAGGACGCCGATCAGCAGAAGGGCGGCAATGTGTAGCAGGGTGGCGACCTACAGGAGGGCGCCTTCGGGTGAGAGGGCGCTTATTTACAGGACAGCGGCTTACATAGGCGACCACCGTTACGCTTAGAGAGCTACAGCCTACAAATGTGGTTGGAGGGCGCCCGAGGGAGCCCTCCAACCGTATTTGGAGGGCGTATTTGGAATGGGCGTCCTCCGAGGGCGCCCTCCATCCGTATTTTCCCTGTAAACACATTCGCGATTGGAGGGCGCCCTCCAGTCGCGATTGTATTTCGATTCGATTATATCACAATTGCATTTGCGATTGGAGGGCGCCTTCGGCGCCCAAGGGGGGGGCCATGGCCCAGTGGCCCCCCCCCCCTGCCTACGCCCCTGTTCCCTTACCTACCTACAGTGGCACCCATAGAGCTTGGCGTGAGCAATGACGGGACGGACGGTTCAAATTAAAGGGACCCTCCCACCTTCAAAAAAGTTAATGAATTGGCATGAAAGTGATGTCGCTCGGTTCAGAAAGAGCAAAAACGAATATCTACAAAATTTCATCGTAAAATATTCACCGGTTTTCACGATATTAGACTTTTACTTTTGTTTACTTTTTGGGATCTCCGCTGTTCCTATAGCGACTTTCTTTGAAAGTGTGGCATTTGTTGCGCGCAAAGCAGCATATACCACCGCGTGCTACAAAACGTTATCTAATTATCAGTGAATTTTTAAATTACCTAATTATCAGTGAATTTTTATCATTTAAAAATCGTTAGATATCTGCGCTGACGTCACACATTCAGAGGGGTATTCCTATGCATTAGCCCCTCTGAATCAAAATGCTGCAATTTTGAAATTCAATATTTCCGATTTAAGGCATTTCTCGATGTTGTGAGTGCCGAAACCGGTAATTGTGAGCCAGGGACCCCATTTTGGCTATCTCAACTCAAATCTAATGTTAAGGTGGGAGCAAGGTGGGAGGGTCCCTTTAAAGGAAAAGGGCCACCTTCGTGAAATATGAAGATATCGTTGTTTTTCATTTTGACATTATTATTTTTCATTTTCTTTTTAAAACTGGTGCCAGAAGTGCACAATTCGCTAAAAAGTATTTAAAACTATTTAACATATTGGTAGGTACTATGTTGATACTCTCTACGGCACCTACTGTATGATGGCATAGCGATGACGTCACACTCAAGCCAATCAGCGTTCAGAAGACAGACTCGTCGGATTGTGTCAGATAAGCTGATTGGTTAAAGCTGAGCTGGTTGGAGCTGATTGGTAAAAAACCAAAGCCTCGCCGCGGGTGGCTGTATTGTCGGATAAGAACGCATTCCTGGGATAAGGACGCATTCCTGGCGTATTTTCTTTTAAAATTGCCGATAACTACGAATGGAGGCCGAAATCGGCCGTAAGGAGGTAGACAGATAGGTTTTCGGACACGGGCTACAAGATGGCTATCTCAGTTTCAATCCCCATGTTAAAGGTGGCCCTTTTCCTTTAAGGAGGTCGCTAATAAGGCACCTTACCCTATAGGAATCTTCACGGTGACTGGAATCTTGGGTCTTGGCAGAAACCGAAAACAAGTTCACAACTCTGAACGTTTTTCGGTTCCGACTCGTCGGTTTTTGCGGATTTTCGTTGATCGTTCCACGGGACGCCAGAGTCCAGACTGGCCTTGTACAAGGCCAGTCTGTGCCTTGCGCAATGCATTCGCTATGAGGCGAACTTTAGTACGCGAACCGAAATCCCACAGAAACCGAAAAAAACGTCGGAATTTATGCTAGTGACATGTAGCTTAGGCTCACTGAAATCTTTCCAGCAGCTTCTGAGCATGCGTTCGTTTGCAGTTGTTTAAGGGCTTTTTGAATGGATTTGGTCCATTTTAAGTTTTTGATAAAAAGACCATAAAAAGGGGCTTTATTTGATACAAAGCTGATGTGCTGTACATCTGATGACATGGCGCATTGAATCGTGAAAAAGCGATAAAAAACAATCAAGCGATTTCGGAGCATGAGCTCGTCTGTATATCTTGTCTGCTACTTAAACGTCATCACATGCTCTCCTGTCCGTCTGTGGTGTTCTCAATAACAGCACAAGCGACAAGCAGCAACCGCTTTCAGCAAAACAGCCAATCAGGTTAAACTAATCTGGTACATTTCTTAGCGTTGCTAGGCAACTAGCATCTGCTACCAATCGGAATTGGCGTAAGTTCATCTGTTGAACAACGCTTTCTGGTTTTGGCGGCCATCTTCCTTGGTGAATGTAATGGAGAGGTGTTGTTGCGGCGACGAAGCGGTGGAAAAATTTATTTGATGATTTTGTTTGGTGCTTCCAAGGCTACATAAGACTAAAATCTTGTATCGTTAAATAACCACAACCAGGAAAAGAAACAATTTAATCCTTTTTGGTAAATATTGAGTAATGCTGTGATAATTCAGAGAAGGTCCATCCTGATCCCCCAGTGAATTTCATTTAAAGAAGAGGAAGAGATCTGGTCTGTTGAAGATAAAGATATATACACCAAGTTAAAGTCATGACTCAGTTCCTTCCTCCAAATCTTCTGGCACTGTTTGCCCCAAGGGATCCTATCCAGTACCTACCTCCTGTAGACAAGCTTCCCCATGAAAAGAAGACTACAGGATATTCTGGGCTTGGTGGCTTCTTAAATGAATTTGAGGTAAGTCATTAAGATTGATACTGTAATGGCTGTGGGCTTCAACAGTTGTTCCAACTGCTGCAATGCATGGTTAGCATGATGAGATCTCGTCGGAGTGAAGACACTCACTGGTTTACCTTGGTATGGTGCAAAATGGCATGGAGAGATGCAAGAGCCAACTTGGCTGGGCACCACTCAGAACTGCTGTGTGAGCGTGTCATCTAGGAACATGAAGTAAAGGGGTCACACTCTATGGTGCCCACTGCCCAGCCGTCACTATGGTGTTGGCCAGGGAATAATTGACTGATTTCAGTTTTCATGTCAAAAGTGTAAATATTATACTTTGTAGTAAAACTGTAGAATTTTCCACTAGTGTGAGCATTCAACCAGTGCCACAGGCAGGGACGTAGCCAAGGGGGGCCACCGCAGTGTCCCAAAATTGCATTCTGGCTTGGGTGTTGGAGGGGAAAATTTCTCAGCAAAAAGGGGGATGTGAGTGGAAAATTGCTGGTCAGACAAGGCCCAAAAAGAGTGATAAAAGGATAGGTCCCATAAATTGTTATACGAGTGTGGTAAAATGTACGATGCAAAATGGCCATCCTCACAATGCTTTTCTCGGTAGGTAAAGCTGAGAGTAGAAAATTGTTCTGAAAAGTTGGAGGTGAGAGTGGAAAATGACTTTCAGCTGGATGTCATTTCGCACCCAAATAAACAAATTTGACGCTGGGCCACCGGGGCCATGCCCCGCACCCCTGATGGCGGAAAGAAGAATTAAATTAAGTGAAAAATAGAAGTAAATAAAAATAGCTGCACCACACCCCCAAAAAATAGTGGGCCAAATCTGAGGTGTTTTCCTTTTTGGAGGGGGTTTGATACTAGGCAATGACCTATGGCCCCTCCCTGAGCAAAATCCTAGCTTCCTGCCTGGCTTCAGGTTCTAGAGTTTTCACACCAACAAATATAGAGGTACCTTAGGGGCAGGGTTTGGCTTGAACCTTCCCTCAGCCATTACACTTGGAGAATGGTAAATGTAGGGTGGGCTTACACCTTGACCTTCTCCATGCACACCAAGGCTCAGGGGTATATGTGTAGAATGTAGATCAAGTATCGTTGCTAAGTTAGTGGGTTGTAGGTTGTAGTTTTGTAGGTTGTAACTTGTAGGTTGGTGGTTCAAAGTTGTTAAGTAGGTAATGTTAGGTCAGATTGGATTATGCTTTTTGTCTTCACCATACTTCATCTACACATTTACTGGTTCAAGTTGGTGTGGTATATGTGAAGATGAAGTCCAAGTGGTAGGTTGTGGCCTGTAGGCTGGTAGTTTGTTGGGATGTAGGTTGTAGTAGGTTGGTAGGTTGTTTAGTAGGCTAGTAGGTAAGGTTAAGTCAGGTTAGATTATGTTTTTTATTTACTTGGACTTCATCTTCACATTTTACTGGTTACATTGATTGTAGAACCAAGGTTCAAGTTTATAAATGTTATGTTTATTTTAGGACTTGAATATGGGACCATTGGTAGTTTGCATGCACACAGAGGCACTATCCTTCATTAATAAATGATTTTTTTTATTGATTGTGGGTTGTACAGGGTGATCGAAAAAAAATGTCACCCCTAACTTAAAATCTACATAACTCGCGACTGGTAGGTCGGATGACTTCACGCCAGGCAGCATCGGAAAGAGCAGGCAATTTCTTTTCAATTGAATGTATTCATGATTGTTTTCTAATCCAAATCATGTCCCCATGGGCTCAAAAACCAGTCAGTGTCCGGCTTTCACGTGAAACGAAATTCACCGAACGGGATCGGACACCGCTGAACGAGAACAATGAGTATCGTAACTCAACATAACACACACCTTACACATTACACATGGAGTGTATGTTGTTCACTGCAGACTGTTTCTCAGCTGACCTTAGACTTGTTTCTCAGCTGACCTTAGGCAAGGAAGACCTTATCAGATCTTCCTTGCAAATATGCGGCCTCATTATTCACAAATTCGCCGGTAACTAGCGAATTATTGCGACAACCTGCACTACCGGATTATCAATTTTATGCAGCGGTAACATGGAACAGTTAAGAAAAATGCTCACGTGAGCTGTCACGTGAGCTGTCAGATCAAAAACTCTGTCAAAAGTACAAATTTGCACAACCAAACTTTTGAACACGCCAATTTGCGTCCTTAACATACTTTGTTAATAGCTACATCTTCGTTTGCGGCATAAACCATGCATATTTACATCCATTCGAAAGGAAATTGTATGCTCTTTCCAATGCTGCCTGGCGCAAAGTCGTACGACCAACCAATCGCGAGTTATATGGCTTTAAAATTAGGGGTGACACTTTTTTTCGATCACCCTGTAACCTGTAGGTTCATAGGCTGTAGGTTAGGTAAGGTAAGGTTACCTAAGTTGGGTTGGCTGTTGGTTTGTGTTATTTTAGATTAGATATGAATTGTATTTCTTATTTTGTAGTCATTCTCATTACTTTTATCTTATTTGCATGGGTGTCATTTTCTATAGGCTTGGTAGGGCCCAAGCCCTACCAATAATTTCATAGTTTTGGCATTAACCCTATGGCGGTGCATGGTAAGAATGACTTTGCTATCCTGAAATTAAGCATTTGAGTCCTACCAATAAATTTTGAAAAAGTGATGCCCGTGCTTATTTGGTAACATTATATGCATGCGATCTTCATAGTACTGCCATATTCAAGCATCAGAATAAACATAACCTTGCAGGTACTTTGGTACCATTGAGAAAGTTTAAGCTGGTGGAGAAGTACCAATACAAAGAATAAGCTCTGCTAAAAATAAGATCTTGTGACAAGTGGAAACCAAATTTGGCACCTACCCAATTTGATGGTCCCGAATTAGTTGTTGACCTTACAGGTCAGTTCAATTGCCAAAATCTCAGGGAAATTGGGAGCTACTTAAAATTTGGTGCTTCAGGGATGTTGGATCCTGATTCCAGATTTCAGACCAGCTAGTTTTGTTTGATGATGATGTATGTGTGCGTTTTGGGTGGGTCAGCTCAGGTCAGCTTCCATGTTGATCTGTCCCACCAGTTGTTCCTGGTTAGGACCTTTTTATCACCAGGGATACATACCTCTGCTACATGTAACATCACAAAGGCTCTAGCAGTAGTTACCTGATGCTCTGAGTGTTAAATTAAATGTCAGCTTCAAGAACTACCCATATGAGTTGTAAAACAAAGTCAACTGAGGGCAAGCTGGCTGGTGGTCTCCCTATGATGCTAAGTATCATTGCGCTTTTACTGAGAATGGTAACTTTAACTTGAAACACTGTGCAAGGTGTACAAATTACAGTTACAGGCGTGCATTCCTGCTTGACAGGTTTTCACTTCCATCGAATTGGGCGCACTTCGAGCATGTTTGTGTGTCATGCTTTGCAGTCTGGTGTCAGTTTTGCTGTCCGTGTTATGATTGCTTTGAGGTCAGTATTTACCAACATGCACCCCCGTGTGCCGCCAGGATCCAGATGACACCCCTCCTCCGACGCGGGTGGAGACCAGAGATGAGCGGCGTGACCGCAAACGGCGCGAGAAGCAGGAACAGGTGGCCTACCGGCTGGAGCAGGACATCGCCCTCTGTGAGTCTGACTCCTGAGTCCTGACCCTGACTCATTGGGGCAGGCATCGCTTCTGTGAATCGGGCCCCTAAGTCACTAACCCTGACTCCTTGGGGCGTGTATCGCCCTCTGCGAGTCGGGAGCACTGCTGACCCGCCCCGGACCCAGATCCGTAACCCTCCAGCACAGACCGCCGGGTCCTTACCGTCTGGATGGGTCGGGATGGGTCGGGGGGGGGGGGTGATTTTGTCAGTGGTTTTGCTTCACCGAGAATCTATTTATCTAGATTGTTTCAAGATTTTGTGTTCACACTTAACAAGGAAGCTGTTGTTAATGATATTTCAACGTTTTGAACTGTTTGCTTGTCTTTTGGCTTTGGAGAGTAATTTTAGGACAAAAGTACCTACATGCGTAAATGTTTGTACGCCAAAGTACGTAACAAAGTAAGCGGACGAAAGTTCATATCGCTGAAGAATACCAATTTATATCTCCTATCCTGACTAAACCAAACCGAATGCTTTTGTTCCTGCATATTATGTATGTACAGGTGCTATTGCCATACGAACATATACGATTCCTACGAACTTTTGTCCGCAACCTTTGAAGAATGCAGGATGATGCAATATATGGTCATGGCAAATGTGGTCACTAATTCTCGATTTAGCTAGTGCCTGAATTAACGTCAGCATTGGTCAAGTTAAAACTATGAAACGTTGACAATGTCTTCTGGTTTTTCATGTGTTTCATGCTTTTTCAGGGGACCCGACCAGTTTGCCAAATGGCACCATGGACCCATTCAAAACTTTGTTCGTGGCTCGCATTGTAAGTATTTCATTGATGGAAAATCTACATGATTCTGCCTGAACCGGCCTTCATACGCCAGTGGTGAAAAACAAAGGATAAAATAAACTACATGTATGTAAAAGATAACAAATTGGCAAACAAAACAAAAGACACTAAATCAACGATGAGCATCAGCCATAGCTGTCCGTAGTGGCTCTGGTTCTTTGGTACTTTGGCACGTACTTAGGTACTGGTACGGTACGTTTTGACCTGTGGGGCAAAATGTGGCCGCTGTCACACAAACTGGCGCACTCTCCCGACCCACAGCCAATCGATTTCTAGTCATATAACACATTTGCCCTATTTAAATTGCGAATCCAACGAGCTCACAGGGTACACGCATCAATAATATATGGCAAAACATGAAACACATTAGAAAAATAAATAACATACGTTTCTCCCTCGTGGGCTGATCAGTTCAACGGAAATAAGGAAAACGCGAGGGAACGTAAACAATTGTGAAACGGAAGTGAGAGTGAGCGAAAATGACGTCACAAGATCGGCTCGACGCAACCAAATTAAAAACACGCCGTACCGGCGGCCACACGCCTCCTTTAAATCACTCACTCTGCAGTGATTTACCCATCACCCACACGATACACTTTCCAATCACAGAGCGCTCTCGGCACCATCGCTGCTTCCTCGCCAGCGGTAAACGTCAGTCTAGCGCCCGGCTGGCGCTCGAAGGGCGCCACTCACTCGAACCGCGCCTCCTCATCTACAGCTGTGAACGCCAGTAGTCCAGCGCCTGGTTGATGGCTCAGAGAGCCGCTCGAAACGCGCCTCCTCGTCCACAGCGTTGAACGTCATCCACCGTCCGTTTAGCCACGCGGGCCGCCCAGGCCGCCCGTGATCGCACCATCCCTTCGCCGCCGAGCACTCACGACGTCCGCTCGGCGCTCGGTCGGCGCTCACTGGACGCTAACCGCACTGCTCGCGGCTGCACCTCCCCGTTGCCGCCGCGAACCTCCATCTGAAGTCCGGTCGTCCATGTTGCCGCGGCCCGCGGCCGCGCCTCCCCGTCGCCGCCGGAAAACTCACTTTTCCGTTCGGCGAGCGGGCGGCTGGCTGTGCTCGCCGTTCGCCGCCGTCTGTCGTACGAGCATCACCAGCTGGTGTACGGGCCTCTCCAGTTCTCTCCCGCCGGACACGATCCGAACCTTCCTGACCAGTCCGTCTCTGCTGGGGAGCGACTGCAGAACCCTCGCCAGGGGCCAGCTGCTACGCGGCGAGTCGGGTTCAGCCATGAGGACGACATCGCCAGGTTCCACCCCGCGCTGCTCTCTCGTCCAGCGCCGGCGTTCTTGTAGCGTCGGCAGTACCTCTGCCATCCATCTGCTCCAGAAGAGGTTAGTTAAATACTGAACCCTGCGCCATCGCTGGCGGCAGTACACATCTACAGGTAAGAATCTACCGGGGGGCGGGAGTACCCTTTTCGTCTTTTGTGTTAGTATCTGGTTTGGGGTCAGAGGTTCTACTACATCTACTTGGGTCATCTCTGGGAAAGGAATAGGACGGCTGTTGATTACCGCCTCCACTTCCACCATCACTGTCCGCAGCACTTCGTCGTCCATCTGCTCGGCGTGGGTTTTCAACACAGCGTCCAACGCTGCTCGAGCGGAGCGGATCATACGTTCCCAGATGCCGCCCATGTGGCTAGCACAGGGAGCATTCATCTGGAAGTCGACCCAGTCACAGTTGTTCTTCAGCAGTTCTCGCTGAATCTCTCCCGCGTCCATTTCGTCCAAAGCGGCTTCCATAGCTGCTTTCCCTCCGACAAAGTTCGTTCCTCTGTCACAGCGTAGAGTCCTTACAGGGCCTCGTCGTCCAACAAACCTTCTGAAAGCGTTCAGAAACGAATCTGTGGAGAGAGAGTTCACCGTCTCGATGTGTACCGCTCTTGAAGCGAGGCAGGTGAACATGACTCCCCACCTCTTCAGTTCACTGCGCCGTTCCTTCACATAGAACGGACCGAAGAGGTCCACGCCGCTGTAAGTGAATGGCTCAGACGGCGCTAGACGCTCCTCAGGCAGGTCGGACATCTTCTGTCCCTGAAAGGTGCCGCGGATTCTCTTACACATCACACAGTGCAGAATGTGACGGGACACGGCGCCTCTGACGCCAACGATCCAGAATCCTGCTGAGCGGATTTCGGCGATCGTCATTCCACGTCCGGGGTGATGAGCTCTCTTGTGGCAGTGGTCAATGACGAGGCGGGTAACGTGACCTGCTCGTGGGAGTACCATCGGGTGTAGCTGACTCGCCGGCAGGTCCGCTCTCCTGATTCTGCCGCCGACGCAGATCACTCCATTTTCATTGACGTAGGGGTCCAATCTGTGCAGCTTGCTTGTTTTCTTGATGGCCTTTGTAGCTGTTTCACCCTGCTCTGACGCCGTCATCTTCGAACTCAGCGTCCTCAGCTCCTCTGTAAACGTTTCTTCCTGCACAGCTCGCACTATCACAGTTTCGGCTTCTTCGAGTTCTGTCACAGTCAACGGGCGGTCAGGTGACGAACGCCGCCCCAGGAGTGCGTCCTTGTATCTGAGGCAGAGTGCGACTGCTCTCTTGGCTCGGTGCCAGTCTGAAAAGCGTTCAAGCCTTTCCGTCAAACTTGCAAAGCGAACCGTCTCTGACGTGGTCGTCTGAAGTGTCACGGCAGTCTGAGCCGCGCGTCTCACCTCAGGATCTTTCTGGTCCAGAGTCGTGTCAAGATCTCGTCCCGGCAGCGGGTCGGTGCTTCTGAGAAACGGAGGTCCATTCCACCACAGATCACTGCTCTCCAACTCTGCAGCACTCGCGCCCCTGGAGGCCAGATCAGCTGGGTTCAACTTTGTCTCCACGTGCAGCCACTGGTCCTTTTCGGTGTGCTCCCTGATCTGCTGCACTCGGTTCCCTACAAAGACATGGAACCTTCTGGCGTCGTTAGAGATGTAGCCGAGGACCACTCGGCTGTCTGTCCAGAAGTACTCTGCCAGGTCCTCGATGTCCAGCTCTTCTCGGAGAAAGCAGCTCACCTGGACCGAGGTCAGGGCAGCAGTGAGCTCGAGTCTGGGCACCGTCACGGGTTTCGAGGGAGTGACTCGGGCCTTGCTCATCACGAGTCTGCAGCAGACCCGATCCTGCTCATCAATGAGACGCAGGTAGCTGCACTGCCCATAGCCGTGCGTACAGGCGTCTGAGAAGTGATGTAACTCTGTCCGCTTCACGAGGCCGAAGTCGCTCGTCCTGTAGCACCTTGGGATGCGCAGTGACGACAGTGCCTCGAGCTGAGAAGTCCAGTCGCCCCAGCGCGTCAGGATATCATCTGGAACGGGATCGTCCCAACCGAAACCGTCGCGGCAGAGCTCCTTCACGATCTGCTTACCCCTGAGGATGAAAAGCGAGACAAAGCCTAGGGGATCGAACACTGAGCTTACTGTGGACAAGATCCCCCTTCTCGTCGATGGCTTCTTGCAGGGTTGTACACTGAACTGCAGAACATCTGTCTCGGTGTCCCACTCGACACCCAGAGCTCGCTGGACTGGCAGACACACCGTGCCAACATCGAGACTCTGCAGCTCTGAGCAGCGGCTCTCGGGTGACACCGACTCCAGCACCTTCACGCTGTTGGAGAGCAGCTTGTGGAGGGTGAACCCGCCACGGGTACACATTTTCCGAGTTGAGTCGATCAGGTCGATGGCTTCGTCTTCACTGTCAACAGAGGTCAGACCATCATCAATGTAAAAATTCTTTCTCACAAACTCGGCTGCTTCTTTTCCTTCTGCGTCTTCGTACATGTCAGCAGTCTTCCTGAGCGCGAACATGGCGCACGCGGGTGATGACCTTGCTCCAAACAGGTGGGTAGTCATTCGGTACTCCTGTGGTGCCTGTTTCAGATCTCCGTTCTCCCACCACATGAACCTCAGAAAGTCCCGATCTCTTGTGTCTACTCCCACCTGGTTGAACATGCCTTGTATGTCGCATGTCACGGCTACCTGGTTCTTTCGAAACCGACAGAGTATGCCGGTTAGACTGTTAGTCATGTCTGGTCCCTGGAGAAGATGGTTGTTCAGGACCTGCCCACCGAATTCCGCGCTGCAGTCAAATACGACGCGAATTTTACCGGGTTTCTTGGGGTGGTACACCCCGTGGTGCGGCAGGTACCAGACCCTTCCATTGTCCAGCCGCAGCTGACCTTCTGGGACCTTCTCTGCATGTCCGTTGGCCACGGTAGCCTCCATGAAGGTCGTGTAGTCACGTCTGAAGGCTTCGTTCCGGACCAACTTCGATTTGAGTCCTTTCAGGCGCTGCATGGCAACGGCCTTGTTGTTGGGCAGTCTCACATCTTCTTTCAGGGGGAGAGGCATCTCGAAATGCCCATCTTCCCTCTGACGAGTTCCTTCCGTCATCTTCTTGAGAAACAATCTGTCCTCCACAGACTGCGGTTTCTCCATCTTGGTATTGTGAAGAGTGCCCCCAGGGGGTCCGGAAGCGGTGGGGAGTATGTTTTCAAAAAAAAAAATGTTTAATAAAATTTCTTTCATCGGGGGTGTTTTTCTTTCCGAGATGGTTGCCGACCTGCGCCGTGCTCTGGAACAACCTCAGGTGAGTGTTTTCGACTGGTAGATCCTCAAATGGTTGATTAACGAGTTGATTTTCTTGCTGTTTGACTTCTCTCTTGTTCAAACGCAATTGCACACCCATTTTCAATTGATGATCGGTCCGTTGGTTTCAAGCTGACCGATTCCTTTCCGCCACCGTTCCTTGCGCCTGGGGCTCGTCACAAACAATATTTATAATGAGGCTGGCTTGTCGCTTGTCAACATATAGTCTTCACTGCCTAGGATGGTATCTGTCTCATAAGGAATTTAGGACACGGAAGTCTCCCCAAAGTATATAATTTTGATGCCTCCCTTGAGGACATAACCTGAAGCCACCATCTAATACCTGATAGCTGCCCACCATTTTCTCTCCCTTTCTTATGCCTATCATCCCAAAGA